AAAAAAAAGTTAATTTTGGGGTAAGTTACTCTTTAATAAAAACTAAAGGGCTCAGGTGTGTCTTACGTGGGTGGAGCCTCAGGTGTGTTTCAGGTTGAGACGTGGAGAAAAGCTTCACCATGATTGGCTGATCACTGCTTCCATCCTCCAATCGCAGCCACCGGTACTCCAGAAGGTCCGCCCCTCGCCCGTCTAACAGTAAAGAAATAAAACTTGAGTTTAACGCCAATGTTACACCTGTCTGTCTCCATGGTAACCCTCAATCCGTTTATCGTTCTGTCTATTTTTAACTGCCAATCAAAAATCACAGAATGAAAAAGTGACCGGGTCAGTGTAGTCAGTGTAGTCAGTGTAGGTCAGTGTAGTCAGTGTAGGTCAGTGTAGTCAGTGTAGGTCAGTGTGGGTCAGTGTAGGTCAGTGTAAGTCAGTGTAGGTCAGTGTAAGTCAGTGTAAGTCAGTGTAGGTCAGTGTAAGTCAGTGTAGGTCAGTGTAAGTCAGTGTAGGTCAGTGAAGGTCAGTGTAAGTCAGTGTAGGTCAGTGTAAGTCAGTGTAGGTCAGTGTAGTCAGTGTAGGTCAGTGTGGGTCAGTGTAGTCAGTGTAGGTCAGTGTAGGTCAGTGTAGGTCAGTGTAATCAGTGTAGTCAGTGTAGGTCAGTGTAAGTCAGTGTAAGTCAGTGTAAGTCAGTGTAGGTCAGTGTAGGTCAGTGTAAGTCAGTGTAAGTCAGTGTAGGTCAGTGTAAGTCAGTGTAAGTCAGTATAAGTCAGTGTAGGTCAGTGTAGGTCAGTGTAAGTCAGTGTAGGTCAGTGTAAGTCAGTGTATGTCAGTGTGGGTCAGTGTAACTCAGTGTAAGTCAGTGTAAGTCAGTGTAGGTCAGTGTAAGTCAGTGTATGTCAGTGTGGGTCAGTGTAACTCAGTGTAGTCAGTGTAAGTCAGTGTCAGTCAGTGTAGGTCAGTGTAGTCAGTGTAGGTCAGTGTAGTCAGTGTAGGTCAGTGTGGGTCAGTGTAAGTCAGTGT